AACATACCTGTCTTCACATCATGGAACAAAACAAATGAGAGGGACCCTATATTTGCAAGAAAGAGTTTGAGACTGAGAGTTTTTTGTCTTTGTTTTCTTTGTCCTGCGTCTGACAACTTTGGATCCCAAGTGTATATAGATTCAACTATTTGCTTTCGGCTTCCAGGACAGCTGAATTCCTGAACTGGTGAACTGGTCTGGCAGTGGATGGGTTGTACATGGTCATAGACATCGCATGACAGGTCAGCGTCGATCTCAGAGTTGGGGAATCCCACTGAATCTTCCTAAATCAATATCTTGACCGACAGGTTCCACAGAAGGAGAAATCAGATCCATGCGTACCCAGACTGAGCTGGCACTCACGGTGGAAGGCGGAAAGGAAGGAGTTGCACCTAATTGTTATAGAATCTAAAGACCCTTACGTGCAATGGAAGGTTGGGAAAGAGACAGAAACTGGCTTTGGATCTGCTATAGCCTATATATCATATCATTATATATACCTAGAACCCATTTGACCTCTGTTTTGATAGGAAAAGACCATGTTTTGGCTCCAAAACAGGGGTCAATATATATCTTCCCGACCTTCCATGCTTGCCTCTCCGTGACCCTCCGTGACCCTCCGTGACCGTGCGGACCCCCGCCGTGGGGCCAAACTTACGCGCGGAGCACGGGTCCGGCGTGGCCTCTTGCGAATCCGCCATGCAATCCTCACTGTTGGTGTGGTTATCCACGCCTGTGGACCCCCCACCCGTGCTCAAGCCACCCTCCAGGCCACGATTCCTCAAGGTGCACACGATTCCAGGCAGTTGTTCTTCACACTGAAAGGGAAATTATGGCCCCAACGGGAGAAAAAACAATCTGATTTGGTGAGAACACCACAATCCTCTTTCCATGTTGGGAACCCCATCTGCCGGAGTGTTCTCCACATGATCCACAAGACTGCATCAATGTAGCTATCTCTTTGGTGCCTGTTGAGTCACATCGCGCACTCCCGTGTCTGTGTGCCCGTCCAATCTTCCTCCACCTTGAGTAACAGCCGATGACACACCCAAAATTGCCACACCAAACAAATCCCAAAGCGGCGCAGCTGACCCGGTGGTCCAAAATGAAAAAAGAGGTTAACCAGGTGGGCACCCCCCACCCAGTATAGTGTGGTTCTTCAATTCAGTGTTCGAATCCTTGCAGGTAGACTACCAGACTACTCAGGGCTGTAGTAGAAAAATACTACAGAACATACTCCCCCTTACATTCACTTCGATGCAATCCAAAACAAACCTCAGATCCTCAATACTCTCGCCATGTCTCAGATCCTCGACCGCGGCAGCATCGATGATCGTCTGCTTTTGAGCATGAGTGATCTCATCGCCGAAGAGGAACGTCAGGATCTCCGACATCGTCGCCTCGAGAGGCGCGTGAGACGCAACGTTTGGGGGGGAGACGCCACCCAAAGCGGTGGAAGATGCTTACCCTAAGAATCCGGGCCCTCAGACAGATAGGGTTTTGAGGTCCCCAACCCCTGCCATGGAGGGTCCGACCCCTGCCATGGAGAGGTCAAGGATTCTTAGGGTAGGAGAAATCGGTGCCACGAAGGAACCTCTCCCAGCGCAGCTGGGTGGATCCCGGAGCTGCACCCGGCAACTGCTGGAGCGTGCTGGGGCGTGCTGTGCTTCTTTCGGATCGCGCCCAGAACCCGCAAAACCATCATGATGAAGCAGGAAACATGTGGATCATGGTTCTGGACCACCGTTCTGGACCCGCCATGGCATGCAAAACTTCGAGAGACGCACCCTGAATGCACCTCGAAAAAGCAACTGAAACATCAGTCGACCCACTGTGAACGTGAAAAGGAGGAAACCAACAACTCCGTCCCCTCATCCACTTTCCATCCCATTGACTGGAAGTCAGTTGCCCCATTCATGATTCCCGGAACCATCATCTTTCAGATCCCTAGACTCTCACCCAGCAAAGCATCCCAGGCAGCATCCTTCCTCCCCCCGAAAGCATCCCAGGCAGCGTTGAAGTAGAAGGAGGAATTCGTCATCGTCTCCTGAGGTCTTTCGCGAGGTGAGCGAAGGGAGCGAGCGAAACGAACCGAGTTTCGGGCTCGACCGCCCCGGGCTGAAGCTCGGTGAGAGAGAAGTACCTGGCCCTGGGGATGCACATGATGCAATGGAGGACCATTGAAATGGAGGAAAATGGATCGGTCACCAGAGTGACCTGGAGGAATGAGGCATCCATTCGTTGAGGAACAAGGGCCTAAATATGTCTGGTTCTCATGAGGCTTGTGAAAGGCTTGCTGGAAGATGCCTCTCTCTCTCTCTCGCGCTGGTTCCGCATCTGACTCGGAGACCCTTCGCTGGCAGTGGAACATGGTCCGATGTACCCTGAGAGTCCAGTCATGACCAATTTTCCCCGAACAGGTGGTGGTGGATTGTGACGTGGAGTATCATGTGTCATTGGAAGTTCTGGGGTACCTACAACGGGAGATTGTGGGGCCCGGGGTTACACCCCAAATTGGGTTGAACACGAGACCATCCCTCTCGATCTCAATTAGTGGTCCTCAAGTAAGACGTGCTAATGTCCTCCATCTCATAGAAGTCTTTCGGGTCCTGATATGGGGATAGGTCAAAACCTGGAGCCCTAGTCCACCATCCTGGTTTTGGCTCACAGCCATACTTTTCTCATTATGTGTGATAAGATCTTGATCAGATCTTGAGATGAAATCTTCTAAAATCACCTCCTTTGCCTTCCTCCAGGCCTATAGGATGCCACCCTGTCCTTCCTCCCCCCTATAGCTGCATCGAGCGGCGTAGCGCACGGTCAACACGTTGGGCGGTGCCAATTGATAGGCGGAGAGCATCCCCTCGATGACGGGCTTCATACGTTCAGCGATGTCCGGAACGCCCTCCTCCTCGGAGCAGCGGCAGCGAATGGGCCAAAGTAGGGCTGTTGGGGAGCTTCGAGCCATGACTCGTACTTGTAAGCTGTCGTTTTCGGCGTACTGATTTCCATCAACCGCGGGACCGAAACGGTCAACTCTGATGATGTGGGGAAAATGCGGCTGCTTTGGATGCTCATGGGGGTTGGAAGAATGTGCCCTGAAGGCCTGAAGAAGGGGTCCGAGTTTTGGGATGCCCAGCACTGGTAGTTCAGGCTGTGAACCTCCAGCTTGGGGCAACAGCGGATGATGATGGTTGGTAAAGGCCTTTCTCAACTAGTGATCATTGTTTAAATCGACAGGCAATAGAACAGGCCGAAATAATATGCATAGATCTTCTGAATGGAATGTATTGCATCCTTGGTGGCCGTCCCACCCAAGCAAACGAAGACCACCCCAAGCAAACGAAGACCATCTCCAAGGGCACTGGGCCCATCTCTGTGATGTTGGGCGGTGCGAGGTTGCTGTTGGGCTCGGCGCCACGATGGTGATAGCAGTAGGCAGAGACCACCATTTGCAAGGGATCGCGCACGATCATCACCTCAGGGTTCCAAAAGCCGAAGGAGCCGAAGAAAACCGAGCTTTCAGCTGAGTCGATGACGAAACCGTACGAAACCCGAGTCGAACGTGGAGGCTGACCACTGCGGAGTCGGCAAGGCTTCAGACTTCAAGTGGGGTGAAGAATGGGCGATCATGTGGTTCGACACAACTGCTTCCTCACGACAGCCCGGACGTCCACCGATCCTTCTTCGCCCCAGGCTGTGAGATAGAATGGACACCAACAGCCATATTATCCAACGGAATACAGGACTTTGTCCATCCATCGCCTCTCAACAGTGACAAAGGGATTGATCCAGGCATACCATGCATACCCCAAAGAAAAGCACCCTTACGTAAAGCGTTTCGTGCTACATGCTTCTTGAACTTAGCAAAACATAGCAAAACCACTGTGGGGAGGCCTCCCCTGCTATCACATTTGGATGAGTTGAACATGTAGGCAACAAGTCAGGAATTCCTGGGCATCGCAGGGCAACTCCAGGGAATAAAACATACAAAAGCAAGACAAATCAAAAAACCTACCAAGCCCGCTGCCCACGGACTACATAATTTCATGTAATTTAGTGTGAGTTGTTTTAGGCATAAAAAACATATTACACCTGTGCGCGATAACTCGCCCCGATACCTCAGGCCTCAGACCCAAGCTCGCAGAAGTGGTTTAAGGGAAAGCTCTACTGTAAAACCGTGGTGAAAACCGATTCTAAAGAATAAGAACCCTGGTGAATATGTTGAGAAAACATGAGAAACACATATAGGAAAACAGGTCGATGTTCCCCTAAAACATCCCGATCCAACCCAATCCATTCGGTCGATGTTCCCTTACACCGCCCAGTGACTCCGCGCAGCGGGATGCCGCGCCGGATGGACTCGTTCTTGATTTGGATGAGCTCTGGGCCTGAAGTTCTTCCGGATCAGGCTGATGTGGGAGGAGAGAGGGGAAGCGAAGATGGAAGACTGATGAAGTTCCGAAAGCTTATGAAGTTTTGTCAATTAATTGTGTTTTGTGTTTAACACACAAACAATATGTGTAGTAATTCATTGTAATTCCATCTCACGTCGAAAACGCCCCTTGGGCCACATCACAGTCACGCCCGACATCCGATCGACATTGAGTTCTGCCCCAGCGGCCATTGATGTGGTTGTGAAACTGGATGGGCGCCCAGACATCATAACAATTGTTCTCCTCGGCGCAACGGAAAAAAACACCCAACGCGGCTGCTATCTCGGTAGCTCCGGTGAGAGAACTGTTGGTGGCAGACTGCGTGAACGGGCGTTTAAAAGGCCGTTGCCGGGTGTTTTACTCGGTGCGCCGGTTGCTCTGGGCGTTTTCTGGTCTTGGTGGAGAACTGTTCTACTGTCTGTCTGTCATTCGGATTTTGGACTGACAAAAGAAGCGGGTCAGGATCCATACCACGGGGATTCCCTTGCATCAGGGACACCAGCCCTCATGGATCCTGGATCCTCCATTGAACACGAGGTCGCGAGGCACCGTTCATAGGGGTCAAGTACCCGGTTTCTCCAACAGCCAGCCTCACCCAGCAACAAAAATCTAATGCATGTATCCATCTGGGACTTTCCTGTAACCTGTGATTCTTTGATCACCCCAACATTTGATGGTCAGCTCTTCTCCAAAACAGCTGTCTAAATCCGCTGATCCTTCTGCTTTCTGTGCTCCCCAAATCCGTTCTCTCTGCCGGTTCGGCGCGACCAGGAGACCCTTCCAATGGTCGTGATCGAACTGCCATGTCCGCTAAATTGACAGGAGTAGGTGGCACCCAGCGTGTCAAAGGCCCAACACATGCTGTTGCGTAGCAACTGACTCCCAGCTTTGTGATTTGTTCCAACCTCAAGTTCAGATCGAAACTGAGATCTCTTGTGACAAGGAGGGTGGCATTTGGTGAGTCTCATTAGTAAGGTGAACATGGAGCTGAAAGAAGTACTGTAGTTATATATAGAGGGTTCAGTCAGTCGTTGGGATACGAAGATGCATGAAAGATCTAGCAACAGGACATGATCCAAGTAATACTCTCAGCACATCTGACCAAGGCAAAGGAACAATCTAAAACACCTCCCAAACAACCTTGCTGTTGAAGTCCCAGCTTTCAGGGATCGAAAACACCAGCAGCCGGAACGGTTCTGGTGCATCAGCGTTGTGCACCACACCCAGCATGTATTCAAAGCCCTATGACAACAGCCACAGGCATATGACAACATCTGACCACCTCACAGCCGGTGAATCCGTGTCCCTGTGTCTTCGTGTTCCCAACAAATTGAAATCATATCCACTTCCATCATATTACTTCCTACTATAGAGATCTATAGAGTGTACCAGCTGAGGGGACCCGCCCGCGACCCCCCCCAAAAAGCATAACGGGCACTCCTGGCAGTGCAGCTGCAAATGTGTGTTCTGTTGAGTCAACATGTGTCAAGAAAACTGCACTGCCAAAAATGGCTGGATTCAACAATTGCATCCAGCAGGAAAGCCTGACCAAGTGACAACATGTGTCAAAACAAACACCTGAAAAAAAAAGACTTAAAGAAACAAATCAACAAAACAAAAATCAAAACAACAACATCTCTGTCTCCGGGGTCGAGGAACTACGAAGGCATGATGATCCCACGGCCTGGAGGGTTCCATCCGTTCAAGCGCTATTTGCCTCTGGAAGAAGCCTCAGGTGGTGGAGACCGCTGACAGCGGCCCTGGTGACCTCAACCGACCAATCGTCACCCAGAGGCCTAGTGACCCGTCACCCTTGGGAGGGCGGGCTGTCGTCACTGATGGGAGAAGGTGGAGAGAGAAGAGGAGTTCGGAGAACAAAGGCTTGGAGGTGACACCCAAGTTCACCCCAGAAACCGCCCAGATCCATGAAAGTGTGATCTGATCCATCTGATGCAGTGCTTCAATTGGACCCACACAAGATGGGTTTCCAATAACTATACTCCTTAAATCTCACACATCTGACACATAAAACACCTCAACAAAAAAACGAACACCAACAGCCCACCCGTACACGCCGATGTCTACGGTGTGCTATCAACTACGGGTGCTATCTGCATGATCTTCCGCCAAAGCACCGGTCCCCTCCGGTTCTTCGCACTGTTCCGGCTTCTCTGCCATGGAAAGGGTGAAGACCCAAAGCCCCAGGCGCCACATGGGGACGAACCTCGGTACAGAGGTACAGTACCGGTGCTAAGGGAGAGGCCCTTTTTCAGGTACCATGTGAGTTTTTGTTGTTTCTTTTTACATACCAGTACAGCTTACAATAAAATCCGCCCACACCGCTTGCGGTGCAGGGCGTGTTAGGGGCGGGTCAAGCTGGAATCATCGTCAGTCAATCATCACATCGTAATCAGTTCATAGCTCTGCTAGGGGGGCTTTTTTTGTTTCGGGGAAAAACGTCTTACGCCTCGAGGGCCATGGGGGAGAGCGCTTTGGAGGTACATAATTTTTTGGCTATTTCTGCAAGAACCCAAACAAGCCAAAAAACGGACACCCACGATGCTGAAAAACCCTACTGACCAGCAACGCATAGCCAGCATGATTGCAAAAAGCCCAACGTAGCCTCAACACAGGGTCACCAAACGATCAAGCTAGCCTTGACATGATGTAATGTGGACTAACCAAGCGGGGGCAAGGCCACAAAACGGTCGAACTTGGAGCCTGAATTGGCTTTAACATGGCCACCAAACGAGCGAACTTGTGCGTAACTCAGCCGCAACATGGCCATAGATGCTGCGGCAAACAAGCCATCTCTTTGGACACCACTCCCGACCTCCCCTGTCCACTCCAGCAGTCTTTCCCCAGACGACCGATAAAAAACAAGAAGGTGTGGGCGGCGGACGACGCGAAGCGTCAGGAATAATGTATTATGATATGTGTTTTCTACATGTGTTTATCTATAATTATAACACATTTGTTTTGGATAGTTGCAAAAGCCAACATAGTTTCAAATAGCTTCGACCGATGTGCCTGGCGGGATGGCCTGGCGGATGGTCGGATTGGGCCCTTGGCCAAACCAGCGGATGGATTCGACCCAAGACCCTAAGGCTATTTGGATCGGAGGATTTGGGGAGACACGCATCGAATGGCTGGGACGGGGGGGTTGCAAAGGGTTCGATGTGCTTCGTGTGCTTGCTGAACTATTTGGCTACAAAAGTCAGCTCAAAATCTCTGCAAAACCAACCCAACCAACATCGAAGCAGGCCTTGAACAAAGTAAGTGGATACCCTTCTCAAGGTCTAATTTTGATTCAGAACAATCCTGAACTGACAAGTTTCTTCTTGATCTGTATTGTCGTATAGACATTGATTCTGCAAATACTTTTATTTAACGCGGTCGCGGACACTGAGCCCACTGAGCCCCACGGGAAGTGTACTTGAAGGACTTCTTGCAGTTGGATGGTTCGGATTTTGACGTCCGAAGTCATGCAAAAATCGGTGCTCGGCGAGCGAAAATCTTGGCCACATTGCACTTCAGCTTTAATGAACATATGTACATATATTTACACTCCCTGAAACAATCATGGAAGTGGAAGGTAGGCCGCCTGGAAGATAAACATTTCCTCTACTTTCGGGGGTCCTGGTCAGCTTCCATGATTGTTGGAGGGAGGGTAGCCATTGCAAGGCTTGTAACAGTCGGTCGTCTATCGCCATTGCAAAACACCAAAAAGAGATAAAAAGAGGTCTGCAAAAAAAGCCATGACGAGCCTCCAAAAGCCTTCCCTCCCAAGCACGCGGCGGGAAGAACCGGGAGACGTGCGTCTCTCGGTGCTGCCCGAGGGGCGGAGTGTGATTTTCCTCCGAACGGGTCTGGTCGTTTGCGGTTCGGTCAATGCTTGAGCCCAATGGCCGAGACGGGGCGATTTGGGAACGGATGAGATGATGAGGTCGTCTCCTGGACAGGGCTCCTGGCCCACCTGTGTCGGTGAAGGTGGTTAGATGTGGGTAGCACAGGGGTGGGTAGCACCCGCCTGTTGGAGCCTCGGTCCAGGCGTTCGGAACTTCGGTCCCAGGCCGTACCAAAGTCGTCGAACGGGCCGGGTCCGACCCCAACATGGGCCGTACGCAGCCGATCACCAACTTAGTTTTTCATTCAAGTGCCTATCTTCAAGCGTTCCATTTGGATCCATTTGCTTGTTGTTTGAGATTCTGTTGTTTGTTGCTTCTTCGCAAGTCGCTACACCGCGCCGCTAAGACCATTGGAAACTCCTTATCTCTGCCGTCTCCTCCCTGTTCTTGACTCTCAAAACTGGTATCCGCCACATAGAAATGGATCGACCAGTGATTCATTCATTGGACGCCAAATGATCCTGAACTGTTCCAAAGAAACACGACAAAGCTCCCTTTCGCCAAGGCACTGTATCCCTCCTGGAAGGGTGCGAGCCATGGAGATCAGCTAAGGTATCAGGAGTCACTACTGAGATCGACTGAGTATAGTGACCAAAGTAGTGCCACTTTTGTTTTAACTTGGGGGGATCCACAAATAACAACTGCATATCGCTGAGAAACTACCCCCCACAAATGGCATATGCCCCTGCGCGACGAAGCTGAATCAAACTAAATCAGCTCGGTCTCCTGCTACACAAAGCCTTGCATCAGCTCAGTCCGTCAATCGAATTCCTGAAAAGCTTCTGGAACTCTAGTGTCAATCAAGCCCTGGCTGAGAGCTCACTGCTCCATGCACATGTCTCGTGCACAGTTGGTATCTACCAAACGCCTCCTGGGCTTTAGTCAATTGACCACGCAAGACACGGCCTTTTGGAACAGGATTTCCCTGCAAACGCAGCTCGCTTGAACCGCCAGTGACGAGCACTGGACTTGGGAGTTCCGAAGGCAAACAGAGCAAACTACCCCAGCATAGTATACCCAGTGGATCTCAGTTAGCACTATACCTAGAAGCACCTGGGGCAGAAATTTCTGCCTCAGTCCGATTTGCCCGGGAGGATTCGCGGATTTAGGGGAAATCCGCGCCAGGTAGGAATTTCCGCGGGCAGCAGGGAATTTTTGCCTCAAGCAAAATCCAACATAGCAACTCAAAAACCATTACAACCTACCAGGTTGTCTCTTCCATTATTGCAGACCACATATCGTTCTGCATAGCTTCACATCTCAAGATCTGACACCCTACGATTTTGACACTTCTAAATTCATGACATTCACAAAGAGGCTGCGACATATGTTCAAGCCCTTCAAAGGCATCAAAGGCACTGTTCTTGAATCCCGCCTTCTACCAGGAAATTTCCGCCGGTTTCCCGGGTATTTCCGCCGTTTTCCCGGGTATTTCCGCCTCTTTCCCGGGTATTTCTGCCTTTTTCCCGGGCATTTTCGCGCCAGGTGTTTTCAACTTTGGACTGATTTTAGTCCTTTTGTGATCATTCCGCACAAGAAACCTTCAAAAACAAAGACACATAATATATCCCTGAGAGTCAAACCTCGATTCTTTAAATACCGGTTGCAGCAACATGTATTATTTTCTATGTTTTGACAGTCAGAACCTTTCACACGGTTTCACGCTCATTTTTCATCCCTCATGATCACGCTGTGCATTCGCTCTTGCTCTTGCATTGAGCCTTAGAATCGAGCAGGTTGAACCTACCACTCACATCACAACTCATTTAAATCCCAAATTTTGGTGTCCAAGTAACTTTGAAATCCATGTCCTCATGGATCTAATCCTCAACTTCGAGCACCGCAGCAACCATGTGTGGCGAGTGCTCGGCTTTGCAAAGGTGGCGATGCCTAGGGCAAGAGGAGGAGGAACATCTAGATTGGACACTGCATTCAATCACCAGCTGTCTTAGCACACTGAACAATCACGATTCTTCCACCAAGATGCTTTTGCACCACTTCATTGAATCTTCGTCTGGGTATGTGTGGTAGTACCGAGGGTTTTCCAAGTGCTTCTTTGCAAGATGGAGAAGGTGCCCAAAAGCCTGAGGTTTGTGCGAAACCCTCGATCCCATGAAGGTTTATGTGTGTTCCCAGGTATGCTGCAACCTATATTTTAAAAAGAAACGAGGATTGAATCTCAGGGCCATATATGCCAAGGTACGTGAATTTTTGGAGTGATTTGCCACTCCATGCGCGAGTCCCTGATCAGGCTCATGCACATGGGAGATATACTTCCTTTTGAACAATCCTGCCAACTACAAATCCCAGGGCTGGCCTCACAGCCAAGGTATTGAGGCAAAGGTATGCATCAACATATCGCCGACCTTCTCGAAACATCTCATTTGCTCGGAAAGGTGTCCTCGGCTAATTACTTAAGACCCTGAGGGTTGTAAGATTTTTCTGGATGTTTTGAACGAACTCAAACTTCCCCGCGTGAAGCTGATTCAAAGCTAGGCGCAAGAATCTTTTGGATCTTTCCATCAGTCCCATGTATCGAGCCATACTTCTCCTCAAGATCTACAAGATCTTCAGGACTGCAGGCGAAGTGTGAAAGGGGCAGGAGGTGATGAGTTGAAAAGGCCCCCTAATTGCTGAAGAGAGTCTGGGCCAAATAGGTGAGGGAGAAGCGCTCGCTTCGCAGATCAGGAAATCTTTCCCAGCAATCCTCAAGGCACCAACCATTGAAGGCCTTGTGGGTCCAACATACCTCATCACCAGCTTTGATCACCTCAGGTTGATCACTAGCAGCATGTGCTTCCAGGAATGGTCGGGATCCAATTTTTTGAAGGGAGGGACTTGGACAGACAAATAAATGGGCTGCTGATTTCATGAACCAGCCACATGTCTTTCTTTAAAGCGTGGTTGACTACATCGAATCTTCCGGTGCTTCACAAAGTTCTGGAAGTGCTCAAATGCGTTGTCAAGTTGGTCTTGAAATGATCCATCTCCAAAGTAGGATAGATCCTTTGCCAAAAGAACCCTTAGCTTGGCCGGCCAATGAAGGAACTGAAGCTAAGTCAGACTCAATCAAGCTGGATCACCAGTGGGAGAGCCCAGGCAAACTGGCAGGCGAGGGGTTAGAAGGTGAATTAAGAGACAAGTGGCATCGATGCTCCATTGCTCCGGAACATCAGTCCCAGATTCAATACATGCATGCTGCACCATCTAATGGCCGATGGATGGAAGCCCGGTGCGGCAATCAATGGACCTTGGGGAACATAGCAGCAGCAGCAGCATTCAAATACCCTGGAACACTATATAGCTAAAAGGAATTGTTGAAGGAAAACAAGTATACCTATGATCATACCAAGTATCAGAACCCTCTATCAGGTTGCCTTTCAATCAGAAACTCTGCCAGAGTGAAAGCATTGTCCGCCCATAGTGAATTCTCTTCAAGGTTCCAGTATGCATTGTTCCAATCCGCACACCTCCTAGCGTCGCACATCCAACATACCTTTTCTTTTTTCCAGCTGCAGCCACTAAAGTGCCACAAGTCACGATGCCACTCCCAATCACCACGATACTCTGTTATGACGAAAGACAATTTTCGCCCTCGGATGATTTGCTCACCCTGTCTACCAGCCAAGTTTGGTGGCAGCTCGCCACCAAAGGGTCCCTCTTGTGGAATTTCTCCAACAAATAGAGCTCTGAAACTCCACAACAAATGTCTCATCACTGCATCCAGTGTCCAATGTGAATAGAGTTTTTCGTGCATTATGCTGAAGACCAACCACCTGCTCGATCTTGTGCTCTTAGGTCTATATAGCGGCAGGTTTATCCATACAGCTATCAGCTTCTCGTGTTTGTACAGTGTAGCCAGCCTGGCCCCGTCCCCATAAAGGCCCAGAGGCACTGCATCGGTGTCTCCAGGCCCATAAAGCGCAAATGGCTGACCAGTGCTCAATGCATGCACCCAGTATCTCGTAACTGCTTCCCGCGAAATAGTGACACCCAAAGTATTGAAGAGATAGCCAATCAAGTCGTGTGGATAAATCACTGGCATTTTCTCCATTTCATATCCAGCCGGGAGTTTCTCGTTTTTGACAGGTATAGATAGTTCATTGATAGCCTCAGGATATCCATCCACCCTGTATATATTTAAATAGCTCCAAGTAGAAATGATTGTGAGGCATAAAATGACTTGATTGCATCAAGAGGCAATAGGAAGGTCAAGGTGCTTCCAGAAGTTGCGCACTGCATTGCCAATCGATTTTGATCCCAGCCGATAGCTATCCGGGTGACAACCAGTAGGTCCAGATTCCTGGGTTGCACACATCCAGAGCCTGTCGACCAACATTGATAATAGTGCAAAGCATTCATCCACCAAGGCACATTGGCATGGGAGCGGATGCTTTTCATCGCTCGGGATACCGAGACAACCTAGGGGCTGGGCTGGAAGGGTGCGGTGTTTGGAGGAAAGATCAAAAACTACCTGTTGATTCCAAGAGGCTCCTGATGATATATCATCAACTGCATTGTTGATGACATCGGATCGGTATCCCGCCGACCGTGATGATGTCAGTCCTTCCAGCCAGTCACATGACGATCATGACATGCAAGCTAGCTGGCTGAGAAAGGTTATTGCACCGGGCTTGCACATGTTTTTCTTTAGAGAGCATCGTAAAGGGTGTGCCTAGCAACACACCATGATTATGTCCAGAAGCAAGGCTTTGCCCTCCAGCTAGGCATAGACGTGCCCCACATCCAGTGCTCAAGGACAAGGCAAACAGACAACTCCACTGTTCTTCAGATGTTCTTTTGGCCGTGACGTGACACCATGCCCCCTCTCACTGGAAACTCCGCTGGCCAGCTAGCTATGGCAAAGATTTCCCCAATCGGAATCGCAATCTATTCATTTGAGATTGCTACTTTTGCAAAAATCTGTGAATTTGGCCGCCGCAGCATCATGTATGCCCACTGCCTTGTCGATCAGTTCCACCTGGCCAGGAGTA